AAACGGCGACTACTAAGTTGTAATCCTTGTAATGAACGCATCGGTTGACAGTTACTTCGAAAAGTGGAATTTACCCTTATGTAATGTTTTCTTGAGAAGGCCAGAAGAAAAAAAACACTTCAACTAACAAATGATAAAAAAAATCTATTCTTTCCTCTAGGGCCGGTCATGTCCAAACTGCTGACAGTTCGCTTTTAAGCGCCAGTGCCTTCGCTTTACCAAGTTTATGTATTGAACGCGCAAAATGGATGGCCAGTCAAGTAAGAGGACCGAATCAGTCCTTATCAATAAGAAACTTGCTTTGTGGATTGTACACTAAAGAAGCTAGACGATCGCTTCTGCTTCTTCTGGAAGAACCTGGTTACGACGAATTGAACACTTGATATGGTGCCGATCTAAAGTTCTACTGCTCTCCAAAAATAACAGTTTACTCTCCAGAAATATTATTTCATTTCAATTCCACGTTACCCACTAAACTGCTGAGCACGCCTTCTTCCTTTAGGGTAATTATGTAGTTGCCATTCGTTTTTGCCGATTCAGCGACATCTCATGTCGTAATATCTGGGAAACTGGACAGAAAGATGAAATTTTTTATGGAAGAAAACGACGCAGCTTAGGAAAACTTTTCATTGAAATTTTTATCTCACGCAGACTTCTGGCCATGGAAACTAAGTTATAAAAGCGTTACAACTTGGTACATGACCGCTAAACACAGATCACTAGGTTGGCGACTTATATTACAATCTTAGTCGCTTAAATTTTTCACCAGTCGCCATGGTGACCAAAGCAACAGGTCCACTTACCATACTCTTGGTTTTATAAATTTATGCGTTCCATCACCATTTTTTTTTGGTGCTTTTTTTTCTTTTTTCAACACTTGATTTCAAGAGGTGAGGGGAAAATGAGAATCCTATTACGGCACAGTTTCATGTAATCCATTAAATATCATATTCGGGTTGTATCTTAATTACTAAGAAGTTGTGTATCACTCTTGTGTTGTGACAGGGTGATGTTCATAGCGCTCTGATAAGTTTGCAACGAGCTGTCAGGTGAGCTCTGCAATATGTTGCCCTTGCTTTTGATGAGAATTCTTTCCTGTTTCCGAATAGTTTGTAAGTTTCACTGTCAATTTTAAGATAGCCATTTCTTTATGCATAGTTCATCTTTGTGAAATACCTTTCTGGTACAAAAACGCTGCAGAAGGATACGGACAGAATAAAAGCTTTAAATCCAAAGTTTATGTAAACAATATCCTCCCCTCGCTTTCGTAGACTCCGTGCATCGGACGGAAGTTTTGGAAACTATAGAATAAGGCCTGGTAATTTTTTTCCTTTTGTATCTGACGTTTTCACAAGCCAGAAACATCCTTTCAAAGTTAACATTATAGCTTTTGGTCATATTTCTTAACAGTGAACAGTGGCCTGATGGTAGCAGTACAATATCAGATGGGGGAATGGACAGATTTATCCATGCAAAGGTTAGTAGCTGTGGGACTGCGTCTTTATGTGTTGCGCACGAGTGCTTCAGTCCTTATTTAGAGCGAGACATTGTTAGAAGTATAGCGCTTGTCTCGCTTCATGGTCGATAGTAAAGTATTGGTTCATGTTTTATCGAGTTGTGGATGCACGCGGGAAGTTTGAAGAGTACTAATTTTTAGTCACTCCAATACAATTGAAAATTTTAAAGTGAAAAAAAAAATACGGACCTAAATTTTTTTTCTTTTTTCGTTTAGGCCTTGCTACTTATTGGCCGATGGATGGAGGAGACTGCACATTATGCAGCTAATCGGGCCATCCAACAGTACAAGGTAATGCGATGTCTATACTCAGTTTTTACGATCAACTTGGGGCGTATTCGCGGTTTAAGAGGATGTAGCTGTTAATCTCAAGACTTACGATCAAATTCTTATATCAGAAGGATAGAGGCTACAGTTAAATCAGAAATGGGCCACTAAGTTTCAGATTGGGGCTCAGCTGATGCACCCGATCACTATTCAACCACTGTCTCCATGAAGACTGGTGGAGGGATTTTTTTGTTTTCGTTGTTGTTTATTTGTTTGTCTCTTTCAGCTTTAAAGCTCTGTAAATTACTTTGATTGCAGTTCATCAAT